ATATTTATTTAGTATTTAGTTGAAGGGAAGTACTTTAGAGAAATTTTCTCGGCGAAATTGGGACTTTATTGTCTAAATATGACCCACATACACACTTACTTGTTTGATGTAAATTTAATACAATACAGATAAATATAGTAATGTTGTAAAGAACGCAAAAAAAAAGAAAATGCAGTCGATCATATGACGCAGTAACCCCAAAAGTACAACTATTTTTAAGATTGAAATACAGAGCTTTTGTTATGAGTCACAAAATACTTTCTAGCGAGGAACTGGATGTATTTCAGCGAAATGTAATTTTAATTTTAGTTCCTTTACAGCTATGTACACTGAGTCACGTTTTATTTTCTCGAAATCGTAACATGTGTGTGCAAAACATTTCTGTGATTTTTTTTTTAAGTTTAGTAAAATTTATTTAATGCGTCATGAAAATGATGTAAGAAGAAAAATGCAATCGATGATGACGAATGCAAAACACTTGATTTTTTTGCGAACGATATAGCACAGGGATGTTAGAACAGTAAAAAAAATAAGATTAGTTTTTTTTGTTTAAGTATCTACATCAAAACTAAGAAACTTCAGAAAAACGATATCTACATGAAAAAGCTATGAATTATTAAATAAACTCGAAATCGAAAATGTCATCATTTAAATTAAAAAAAATAAATGAACATAAATTAATTTAAATTTTTCGTTTTTCATTATAGTAAAAATATTTATACATTTTTTGATAAGTTTCAATATTCATAGTTTTTGGAATTTGTTAAGATATATCTCAAATATGTTTAAAATACTTACTGCAATCAACAAAAAGTATTATTCATATGTGAAGATTTATATACATTTTGAGTTCTTCATAATTAAAAGTTATCACTATCTGAATGGTCTTATCTTTTTTTTGGACTTAATACAGCAAAAATGATCGATTCATATAATACTAATGAAAACATGGATAAAACACGTTAACAAAGGTCAAAAAAGGGTAGCTAACATGGAAAGAGATTTACGTCACTATTCCAACAATTGACAATGATTTGTCAATGTTCAGTAAAGTTAGCAGAAGTTTTTAAATTTTTTCTATCTCTCTGAGACATTATCTTATACACTACTTCTTAAAACTTCTATCCTTTTATCTATATCGTAGGGGAGGGAGGGGGTGGGTGTGGGGGTGTGGGTGGGTGTGGGTGTGGGTGTGGGTTGGTGTGGGTGTGGGTGTAGTTCTTTTTTACATTCTCTCCCACACCCACACCCACCCACACTCCACACCCACCCACACCCCCACACCCCACACCCACACCCACACCCCACCCACCCACAGGCTTCACTCATACCCACACTTAGCCTACACCCCATCCACGCTAAACATCATGCTTCACGCGCTCCGCACTCCACTCTACACCCACACCCGCTACACACTCCATGCACACTCACTCTGCAGCCCACCCATAGCCACAGTTACACCCTTTTTTTCCAGTGGTTTCAATGGAAGAAAATGTGGCATTTTAGGGTGTTCTCGGTAGCTACAAGATGTATCTAAATGCGAATTTCACCTCGTGATACAGCTCCTTGAGATGTACTTGAAACAGTATTTGATTTTGTTAGTATATTTTTCTGGGCGAATCAGTTCTAAATATACTCGAACCTGGGCTTCAAATACCCTACGTCTCAAGGACAGCGATGTTGATTTCACTTTATTTCATCATAAGTAGGTCAACTAACAAAAAGTCACTCAAGTGCAGTGTACGGCTTTTGGCTGCGTTTGCAAAAAAGAAATAATTCATCGCGGAGATTCAGAGAGCGAGAGAGAAATTAAGAGAAAGTAAGGGAGAGCGAAGGCGCGTAAGAAAGAGAGAAAAGTGTATGTTCTTTCTCGGCAAGAAACATTCAAGTCATTTTCAATTTTGTTTCGACGACAACACATACTTGAAAGGTGAGTCTGGTAAACAACAGAACAAACTTTCGCCATTCACTCTAATGGATTTTCTAGCTATCTTTACACCGGAACTCAATTGAAAAAGGGAAAAGTCATTCCGTTCTTCCCCAGTTACGTATTGTTTGAAGGCTCTGGTTTTTCGAAAACATCCAACATTTATGTCTTTTGACGCCATTTCGCCAAAAATTTTCAACTTTAGGGTGTGAGGCGTAGATATCGGTGTTCCCGAATGTTTGTAACATTGCTCGTTTTTAGCACATCGCAGCACAGACAAATAAAAAAATCGTGATTTTTCCTATACAAAGATGCACTGTCGGATTCTCCACAAATTTCTATCTATCTTCGTTTAAACAATAAAACTGACTGTTTTCATAGATCACATAGTGAGATTCCACGAAATGTGTCTACTTTCCTCATATTGCTCTTGATAATTTATCCTTCTCATATGAACGAATATTTAGTTTCGAAAACAGAACTCACTGTTACATAGCTCTTGCAAGTCGCTGCTAATTGTGCATATATGCAATGTTCTCTATTGCTTCCTCTGTTGATTTGAAAGCATTTTCCACAGAACCAGGTTTTCCGAATGGCGACATTTTCTCTCTTTTTGTCTTTTCTGAGACAAGCGTCGTGCCAATCTCACCTGTGATCAAAACGTGTTTCTTCATGCAGTATATTTAGAAAACGGACTTTCCTAGCTAATTCCAAGTTACGTAATATACAATAATATACGAACCACCTGGAATGAAAACCTGTATACTGGAAAAAAAAATCGATTTTTACTGTAGCAACACAGCTAGGTTGTCCTCATTCGACAAAATTGAATTGTGATCAAATACGTCCACATTATTCTGAGAGAGCATTTGCTATTTAATCGAAGTCCCAAGACTCAGCCTTTTAGGTGCTGTTAGGATATATGGATGATTTTATATTTCTTTTTTGTTACTGTATGTTCTTACCCGTCTGACCTATTCTTCTTCACTGACGTCTTTTGTTGTAACTCTACTTGTTGTTCATTTTCAATCAGACGAAGAAACTCTCAACTTCTTCCCTGACTAGTCCAATTTTCTCTTCCTATATATACTTCGTGTTTTTTCAATAAAGAGGGATATTATTCACTCATCCAAAGCGTCATATACTTAACTATATACACTCTTCTCACGAGAGGGGGAGAGAGACAAGCGGACATTCTAACTGGTGCTTGTTCGTACCGTGAAGAAAAAAAGAAAAAACAAAGTAAAAATGTGTGGGAAGTAGATGCATTTGATAAAATCCCACTATATGACCTACGAAAACATTCAGGTCTATTGTTTTAAACTAAGATAGGTAGAAGTTTCTGGAGAATTCTACGGCGCATCTTTCAAAGGAATGCTCAAGATTTTTTATTTTGTCTCTGTTGGGATATACCAAAAAGACACTATGTTACAAACATGCTGGGACATCCCAAAAGAATGTGCCATGCCAGAGCATCATGGGTCTACACACCCTCGCAAAATCTCACACCCACACCCACACCCCACATCCACACCCACACCCACACCCACACCCCACATCCACACCCACACCCACATCTTTCGTAGAAAAGAATAGATCATAAAATTAATTTGTCCATTTCATAGAAAATGGATATTTTCTTTCTTATGATCGCAAATACCATGCAAATCCTTACTTAGGGATAGATTGAAGATCATACAAAACAATTCATGTATACCTTTATTTTCATATATACAAAAGTTTTCTTTCAGAGAATTATAATATGGCAGCTGCTGGTGTTATTTCTACAATGCCAACTTCATTTGTTTATGAAGATTTAGTTTCTCAAGTTCAAAACATTCAATATCAAATGCTTCAAATGGAAAACATTTTTGATAATCAATGCAAAACGGAAAAGAAAATGCAAAATGAATTAAAATCACGTTCATTAACATTTATAGACCCATATGGAAATCGAACAGTCAATAAATATATGGATCATGAATCAATCAATAAAGTACTCAGAAAATATAAGAAAGACTATGTACCAAAATATTTACAAGAATGGACTAAGATTGGTACTATGAATGAAAATATTATTTCTTCATTAAATGAATGTGAATTAAAATCAACTGTGTCGAAATATGCAAATGGACATCAATTTATTACATACGGTGAAGTGATTGTATGGGTTGGAAGTTATGAAGATACATGGCTTCGAAAAATTGTATTACAAGTTCTACTAACGGATAACATGGAGAAAATTAAAATGCAAATAAAGAAACAACGACAATTTACTCATATAGAATTAAAATTATGTACGATAGATCAAAATGTAGAACCAAACAGAAAGGATTGGACACACGGTATACCACTACAATCGGAAGATACCATCATGTCATCTCAGTTATATCAAAATAATTGTGTTATTATGGCAACAATCCCCAACCTGAAGGTAAACTGTAATTTCTTTTTTTCCTTTAATCTCTTATAATTTTGTTTCTTTTATAAAGTATGGTGTTACCAATTCTAGTGTTATGCATTTTCTAATATTTGTAAAAACTCTTACTAATAAAACTGTTACCTACAATGTGAACTCAGAGATGGATATAGCTACTGTGAAAGAATTAATACAAGACAGGGAAGGGATTCCTTCCGATCAACAACGTCTGATATTCGGTGGAAAGCAGTTAGAAGACGGCAGAACTCTTTCAAACTATAGTATAGCAGAAGAAAGTACGTTACACCTCCTAGTACGTTACCGGGGCGGAATGTATCATTTTACAAGCGGTCGACAAGATTTTTGCAACTTGCCTAATAGTACTGCCGAAGCTGTTAAAAATGTTCTCGCATTCAAGTTTAAAGATATGGATCATACTCAACATGTGTCACCATCTGAATTACAAAATTCTATTTTACAAGCACAAACTATTCTCTCAACTTTATATCGTGAAGTTGCAAACTTTTTTATATCTCATAATATTCCAAACTTAAAGACTATTATATTACCAACACCCGCCGACAATGAAGACAGCAGTGATAGTGAAGATGATGACGATGATATGTCTAATGATTAATGACAGTTATCTGCTCGAAACCTAGTGTGAGTGTATCGTTTATTAGAATGTAATGTAGTTAAAGATTTACTAATAAAGGAAGAATAAATAAGACTTAATCAAGAAACTCAATAATTAGTGTTAAATGTTGAAGATCGAAAAGATATTCATCGGATAGATCTTATTGCTCATTTAGAAACATTTCATGCTTTCGAAATTGTTAAAAAAGTGTCGATTAATCGTGATTTATCCAAACAATATTCGTGCACTTAAACGCGATAAATCACCATTTTTTTTCGATTATTCTGACGAATTTTCTGATAAATCGTCATTTTATAACCGATTACTATCCTTCAGTATATCGATAAAATATGTCATTTTGCGCATCTAACTTTAGGTTCCACTATTATATTCAGAAGATTTTATTACAGATTCAAATAAACGAATATTTTTATTGAAAGTTGAGTGCTTACATTATTCGGCAGTATTAAACTATATAAAAAAAAAGAAAAAATACTACTTAAGTAATATAGTATGCAATTTCTTATAATTAAAGTCAAATACAAATGAGAAAGAAAAATAAAAACATGTTCGTATATCCAAATTGATGTTTTATAGGAACTCATATGATGACAAAAGTGTCAAATGATAAATGTCAGACATACAGATATAGTACAGTACTTGATATCATTATTTGTTGCAAGATTTGACCGACAACGAACTCAGCGGATGTAGCCTTGTTATGAAACGACTACTATGGTTGATAAACAATAGATGGTACTGTTTGTAATCGTTCAAATACAGTTGCATATATTCTGTGAATTTTCGTTTCAAATTCAAACCATTGGTGTTTCCTCTCTTGGAAATCAATTTTATTTCATTCAGTTTTACAAAAAAAAAAGAAATCCGACCATGAAAATGCTATCAAAGATCTTTGGATGTGTACGGAATTGTTCCATTTAATTGAATAATCGGAAAACACTTTCGAAGAGGGTGGGTATGGGTGTGGGTGTGGGCGTGGGGTGGGTCTGGGTGTGGATGTGGGTGTGGGTGTGGTTGGGTGTGTGGGTGTGGGTGGGTGGGTGTGGGTGCGGGTGGGTGTGGGTGTGGGTGTGGGTGGGTGTGGGGTGTGTGGGGTGTGGGTGTGAGTGACGGGTGTGTGGGGTGTGGGTGTGGGTGTGGGTGGGTGTGGGTGTAGATGAAGAAAATGCCACACCCACACCC